GGCTTGTTTTACAACGTCGTTGCCAAGCGACGAAAACCCAACCCCGATGGTAAACACCGGGGGGGGGCAGAGAGGGGGGCTTGTTTTACAACGTCGTTGCCAAGCGACGAACCCAGCCCCGACGGCAAACACTGGGGGGGGGGGCTGCAGTGGGAACGAGTACTTCTTGGGCATTGAGAGGAAGGCACTCATGACTGTATCTTTCTTATCTCGAGCAAAAGAAGGACCCCGATTGAGGTACACTTGCTTTCTTCTGTCTAGCGCGATGTAAGTCGTGCATGCACGCATGCACGGATATGGAGGAAGCGCGACCCAGAGTCTTACCTTGATGCAGCGGCTGGACTTGGTATTGCTGGCTCGCAGGAGGCGCTGCCCGTCCGCGGAGAAAATCTCGTACGTTGTCCTAGTCTGCACCATCTGCTCCGTGACCGCGCTCTGCCAAGACGAAAGAGAAACGGCGCGGTCGTGAGGTCAACGAGCGGTGTGCCGAGGGAAGCGCGCAATCTTCTTGGCGTACTTCTTGCCGTTCAACCTCCTCCTTGCCGTCCTCCTCCTGCTAGGCGCTCCCTCTGTTGGCTAGCTGTGATCTCTTTAAATTGCATTGTTCCACTTCGTTGGATTTCACCAGATGGTTTATGTAGTCTACGATGTGTTGTTTCTCACATCAGGTCTTATCTAGTATCCAGTGCCTGTGGTCACAAAATCAGAGGCTCCGATGGAACACTGAAATATTGAAAAGCAAGGTACCCACACTCACGTCAAACCACCAAGTACCGCGCCCCGCAGGGTGCACTCCTATCTAGGAGAACGCTGGCAGGGTAAAAAATCTTTGTACGCAGGGAAGGCAATGCGTTTACTACCATGGGGGAGGCCCCCTTTCGGACTGTCATTCGGGTTGAATATTTGAGCCAGTAGATGGCCTGTGGACATGCCGACTAGACAGGGTGGGTTTCCGATGTGGAAGAAGCAACGGTAGCACCCGGGGCATCGGGTGTGGTAGGTAGAATATGCGGTAGAGTACACGGGTGCCGTTTCCTTAAATGTTCCAGCCAGCACCGCCCCCTCTATGACGTATGCGTCAAACTTTCTCTCACCTCCAAATCATCATCCCCTTGTCGATCGCCTTCCCGGCTGCATCACCACAATTTTTGGCGANGGGGGGGGGGGGGGGGGGGGGGGGGGGGGGGGGGGGGGGGGGGGGGGGGGGGGGGGGGGGGGGGGGGGGCAACGATGAGGAAGGTTTAATATTGCCGGTATGACGGAGAGTCGAATATGCAAGCCCACTGGTCGTTCGGGTGTACGGCAGCGCACGAGAAAAATAGGCCGGTCGCACAAAAAGCGTGAAGGTGCGCTGCACTACCAAGTGCTGCGTTCAAGAAGAGCCCGCTTTCGGACAACTTGATCAGCACCTATCATCATACCCTGTGGCAGCTCTGTGAGTATTGCTGGCCTAACGAGCGACGTTCACTTGATCCTGCACCAGTTTTATCATCATCTTGTGGGCCGGAGAAGATCAGCACAATGATTAAGACGACCATACACGCGCGGAAAAACTCACCTCAAGTGTCGCTGCTGATTTATTGACCTCGCGCCCATCTTGAACGCCATCTTGGCCGGGATGGTAGCAACCTGGGACCCCGGCACCTGGGGCGAAATTCAAGAACAGAATAACGTCGGGGGCACCACGCTTTTGAGCCATGCCGAACGCGAAATAGTGCCTGCTTCAACAGAATCTAAACGACTGGGTGGGGACGCGGTATCTACACCAACGAAAATCTTCGGGGGGGGGGGGGGGGGGGGGGG